AGTAGTAGTAGTAGTAGTAGTAGTAGTAGTAGTAGTAGTAGTAGTAGTAGTAGCAGTAGTAGTAGTAGTAGCAGCAGTTGTAGTTGCAGTAGTTTTTGTTTGTAGTAACAGTAGAGAAGAAGAAAGAAGGCGAAAAATTATTTAGATGATTTGGCCGTGCACCGAGGTAATTCATTATACTGGATGTTTTCTAAACAGTGTTGTTTTCTGCTGTTTCATCCAACAGGTCTACATGAATCTCAACGTGCAAGAAGAATCTATGTACGCTGAGATAGACCACGAGAGGGAGAACTGACTGAAAGCTGGGAACTGACGATGTGATGGGCTCAGCAGGAAACTAGACCCTTGGTCATGTACAAATGTCACGCTTCTAGTCACTGCCAAAGGGCGTCTGTGGATTAGCAGTCAGGCAGACGACGCAAGTTCGATTCTCATGTGGAGAGGGGCTGTTGTTGTTGTTGTTTTTTTTCTTACTCTGTCTGTAAGCTGGGACGTTGATTCCTCTCTGCTCGGTTGGTGTTGACATGCAGGGCGGAAGCAACCCACCCCCTAAATGATCTAATTTGCGTGGACGAAGACGTAAAACATGCATATTTGCAATTACGTAATTACCTAGTCACTGCCAACTTGATATGAAGTGTCATAATCAATGAGGGAATGTTGTGTCTCTCTAGATACGATGATGGGGGAAAATCTTGATACCTCAATCAAATTTCATCATGACCTACTCTGGATATGAATTGGAGGGGACTTCAAAAGCACAGTTATTAGTTTGAAGGAACAAAGCAAACGAAATGTGACTAGAACATTGCATGACCATTTATATTATTAAAAAGCTCTTGTTTATTTGTAAAACTTGTTTGTTATCAATAACGTTTAGTTTAGATAGTGAAGAGTGTCATTATTGTCTTGATGATCAGGTGTCCTCCCCTGCCTTTCCTTGACTTGCGATAAGAAAGGAAACGTTCCTCCTTTCCAACAGGGAGATCGACTGTGAATGGGTGTGATGCCACTTTTAACAGTGTAATGTTGTTTAATTAAGAGTTCTAAATAATTTCCGACAGGACCAAGACAAGCGGATGAGAAGCCTTGAAAAAACTACTCAGACAATCTAAAACTGAGAACACCCCATTGGGGGTTCGAATCGGGCCATCCACGCCATAACCCTGTGCGATATTGACTATCATTGGGCCACAGCATATCATAATGTTGATTCTTTTGCAGTTGCTCATATTGTTCATAACACATACAAGTGTATATGTATAACTACACACACACACACACACACACACACACACACACACACACACACACACACACACACACACACACACACACA